TAAAAAAAAAGAACTGGAATGAGAGTTTGACCTGAATTTGAATAAATCATCATCACTGAGAGATGATGATTGATAGGTGAGTCGTTTTAATGACACAGAGCTCACAGTGCCATTAAATACTCTCATTATTTGATCTTACTTCCTCACATTTGCTCTTATGTTATTGTTAGTGAATATCAGAGATTAACAACATGCCTGGTTAGCATGAACCAGCTAACCCCTGCTAGTAGATGCCATTACATTGCCAAAAAACATTGTTCGCCATTGAAAGCCATTTAAAAATAGCTGTGTGTTTTGATGGAAACGAAAACAATAGCAAGCATCAGTGTTGTTATTGTTAACTAAAAGCTATTAAAATATTTTTTGGTACTCAAAATAAAGCTGAAATAAAATATTGGAGAACTTGGAAAGAGTTATAAATTAGAAATGTTGCCTTGACAAATAACTGAAACAAGTTTAATTTGATGTAGTAAAATGATCAAATATAAATGAATTAAAGTTAAATAGAAATATTAAAAAAACAAAACTAATACCAATTTTAAAATTAAAATGAACAAAACAAAAAAAAATCAAACCAAATTCAAAATATTAATACTACAATAGTATATAAATAATACTAAAATTGGCAAGCAACATAAACAGTGAATATTTCATTATATTATAGTAGATATAATGTACCAGAGACCAACATTATAATGTGTATGTCAGAAACGGAGCTTTATCCACTCAATCCACTTTCTTTATAATGCTGTCAGTGTTTCATGGTCGCTGTCTAAACCTTACAAATCTGATAGTGTCTGTATTAGACATATTAAACATAAATGTAATTAATAATAAGAGCCAAACCAATTTCTGTGTTGTTGTGTTATTGTTATTGTGAGGCTGTGAATCATGTTTTATCACAAAGGCGAACCACAGCTACTGCAAGATTATCAACAAATCCACAAAGAATGGAAAACAACAACCTTTCACCCCTAAACACAGGGAGCTGTGGGTCTCCATCACTCACTCCCCAGTGATAAAATTAACATTTAAGTTCAAAAAGCTTTAGCAAATTTCAGTCTCTTTTAAGGTCAATTATTAGCTGAAGAGACTCCCTTCCACTCTCTGCAAATTCATAACATTTACTTTAACAAATCACGTCACAAAAAAACCCTGAATTTAAATATTCATTGAGAAATCATGATTGACAGGCGAGTTATTTTAATGACACAGAGCTCACAGTGCCATTAAATACTCTCATTATTTGATCTTACTTCCTCACATTTGCTCTTATGTTATTGTTAGTGAATATCAGAGATTAACAACATGCCTGGTTAGCATGAACCAGCTAACCCCTGCTAGTAGATGCCATTACATTGCCAAAAAACATTGTTCGCCATTGAAAGCCATTTAAAAATAGCTGTGTGTTTTGATGGAAACGAAAACAATAGCAAGCATCAGTGTTGTTATTGTTAACTAAAAGCTATTAAAATAATTTTTGGTACTCTTTGGTAAAGCTGAAATAAAATATTGGAGAACTTGGAAAGAGTTATAAATTAGAAATGTTGCCTTGACAAATAACTGAAACAAGTTTAATTTGATGTAGTAAAATGATCAAATATAAATGAATTAAAGTTAAATAGAAATATTAAAAAAACAAAACTAATACCAATTTTAAAATTAAAATGAACAAAACAAAAAAAAATCAAACCAAATTCAAAATATTAATACTACAATAGTATATAAATAATACTAAAATTGGCAAGCAACATAAACAGTGAATATTTCATTATATTATAGTAGATATAATGTACCAGAGACCAACATTATAATGTGTATGTCAGAAACGGAGCTTTATCCACTCAATCCACTTTCTTTATAATGCTGTCAGTGTTTCATGGTCGCTGTCTAAACCTTACAAATCTGATAGTGTCTGTATTAGACATATTAAACATAAATGTAATTAATAATAAGAGCCAAACCAATTTCTGTGTTGTTGTGTTATTGTTATTGTGAGGCTGTGAATCATGTTTTATCACAAAGGCGAACCACAGCTACTGCAAGATTATCAACAAATCCACAAAGAATGGAAAACAACAACCTTTCACCCCTAAACACAGGGAGCTGTGGGTCTCCATCACTCACTCCCCAGTGATAATGTCGTATGCTGACGAGGTGAAGAGAGGTGATGTGGACCTCTGCGAATGATAGACTGACTGATGACTAAGATATTCACAATGTCTACGGCTCATCTTTTCATGCTATTCTTGGATAAAACAATGATTTTGCTCCTTTGATGCTTTGTGCAAAGTGGACCTCGTATGTCGACTGTCTGAGAACCAGTTATTCTCCATCTTATTCAGGATGAGAGAGTACAAACAACTCTATGATTCACTCCACTACGACTTATTAAACCATGTGCATCACTACAAGACAAGAAGGTCTAAAAATGCTCCCAAATTATTGATGATATGAATGAGGAGCTTTTATAACTTGAGTTGTGAGTCTTTCTTGCTGATAAACAGTCCCTGATGGAATCTGCTGATTTATTTATTTATTTTTCACATTTCCAGGCTTAAAAGTGAATAAATCAACATATTTCAGCAGAAATGCATTCACATTTTCTTGGCAGGTGTTTTCTTAAAGTGAGTAATTTTTTCAGTGTTAAAATACTTTATCCCTGTTGTGCGCAAACACAACAATAAGTGGCTCTGAGGTGTTTTTTGTAAAACATTGCTCTGTTTGTTTGATGAGTTTTCTGAACGTCTTGCTCAACCAATGGCATGATTTTAGGGCGGGTTTTTCTCCCCAATTTGTCTCAACCAATAGGTCAAGGTTTTCCTAGTTAACGTGAGACAACTAGCCCCTGCTGATAGATGCCTTAAATACACCCTTCTGCTGACCAAAATACATCTTTCACCATTTAAAAGCAGCTTTGTGTTTTGACAGTAAGTTGTTACTGTAAACTAAAACTATTAAAAGTTGTTTTTGGTATTTTAAATTTTAAAACTTAAATGAAAATTTAAAATGTTGCCTTGGCAGCTAACTGAAATACGTACTAAAAAATAAAATTTAAGCAAAAACAACACACAACAAAAAGAAATAACAATTAAAAATAATAAAAATGATAAAATCACAAATTTACTAAAACTAAAACAAAAACGGACAATATAAAAATAAAAGCTAATTTAAATTTTAATTGATATTATAATAGTATATAAATAATACTAAAATTACACTAAAATATTTGTGAATATTGAATATTTCATTATATCAAAGTAGATGTTTTACCAGTGACCAGCTTTTAACCTTTCACTGCCTGCTGCATGCTTGGGGTATTTCCGGGAATGAAACAACACACTTTCTTTTAGCAAAGCGACTTTCGAAGAAAGTATAATGGCAGTGACTTTGCTAATATAAACAGACATGAAACCAGCAGTTGCTAAAAAAACAAGGTATTCAAAATATCATACAGCAGTAAAATAATGCAACATGCTACATTTTGTCAATTTGAATAAACATAATGAGAAGGTTTGTGAATCAAAGTTGATTCAAAGTGCCAAATCTTAATAAATAAAACTTTTGATTCCTTTAATATTAGCTTCTCTAACTAACAAAAATGACAAGTAAATAAGCTATAAGCTGGAGTGGTGCTTGTAAAGTTTGAATGCTGAGCAATCAGTGCACAAGGATATAAATGCTTAGATTTATTAACAGTTGTGTTTGCTTAAGGATCAGGAAGATCTCTAACCTCCTCAAGGACATCAGCCAGCTTGCTCAGTATTTGTTCTGGAAGACCCCGGAACGTCAGGACACTGTCAATGAGAGACAACTTACGTCATTACATTGTTAAAATGAAACAATCACATCTGTAAATGTGTGATGGATTAAATTCTTATCCAAAGCTGGAGAGTCTTTTGGTGTTTGTTCATGTTATGTAACTTCAGTGTTAAATCCTTCAAAATAACACAAGTATTTCATTATTATCCTCAGAAACTTTCAACACTTTTTAATTTCATTTCCCACACTTTATGTAATTCAGTGCTTATTCTCACTGTACACTGGGTGCATTTTTAGTCTGACTTGACATGGTTGAAACAGCTGGTCACCATCACACATTGAAATAAACCCAGAGCTGCTCTCTGCCACGGAAACAACAATAATATCCCTCAATCACCATGATACAACATTTCTAAACATATCTGGTCATGTGTTGCGTAATGGAGGAAAAGGTTTGTGTCTGGCTAATCTGTATACGCTGAGCTAATTTGCCACAAAGCCAAGGCATTATCTGCATTAGGTAATAAAAGCTGTAATTTATCTAAATCTAAATGAATCATGTTTAGGATGAGATGGCATGAGAGGCCGACTGATCCGCTGTCCTGAGCGACCGTAGATTGTCCCTGATGAGATCTGGGCATCTTTGTCTGTTGCATTAGCAAACACACACACGTTTAAAGGGACGGGCTGCGTCCATGTTTCACTGCCACATGTCATGAGATGATCATACATCAATAGCTGCTCCTGCATAAATATTTCACCTGCCATAAAAAATTCAAGAGTCCATTAAAGTCTCCTATTACAGTTTAGTGTAAGACTGCAGCAGAGAAAAATAAAGGTATTATGGATACACACAGGCCATTCTGAGCTAATATTTGGTCTGAAAATGACAGGATCTTATTTTCTTTATCATTTAGTTTGAAAAGACTACTGATGAACTTTTAAGAAATCATATTTCCCCCCTGAGATTAAAAGTACCAGGCCTGTAACCATCATAGACAATGAGGGACACATCCACCCAATATTCAACAATTGTGATTAAGCCTTGCAAAGTACCAATAGATATTACATTTTACAAATATTTTTTTTTTACTTTATATATATTATTTATGTACTGTAATATAGATTGTTATAGTATTCACCCAGTAATAAAAGCACAGATTGGTATTTTTAAAAATATCTTTATAACCCAAAACATTTTTCTTTCAATTATGTTACATTTGTGCCAATCATGTTAAATTTATAATGTTAAGGGGTTGAAGGTTAGTACAAAAATGGATAATAACAGCCTGCGCTGGCAAGTACCATCATTATTCTTGAACTTTGTACCAAGAACAAATTATCAGTAAAAAACCTGATTGTATGATTTTGATTTTTCACCAGAGAAACTTAGTGCTGTTTGTGATCAAAAAAAGTTGGGGTCATTCACGTAAATATTATGTCAGAGAGATCAAACCATTATTTTTTTAAATAAACTACTGGAAAAAATGCAGACAAAAAAAGAAAAAAAAAACATTTTATTATTGTTTATTATTTATTATTATTAATGTATTATTATTATTATCACCATTATTAATGTTTTTTTGTGATAAATCATAAGATAATCATAAACACATATATATATATATGCACACACACAGAAAATGTTTATTATTATTATTATTTAAATATTTTGCATTCAGAACTAAACAGATCAATATACAGTGGGTACGGAAAGTATTCAGACCCCCTTCAATTTTTCACTCTTTGTTATATTGCAGCCATTGCTGCAATATAACAAAGAGTGAAAAATTGAAGGGGGTCTGAATACTTTCCGTACCCACTGTATAAGAGATAAATCTTTAGTAGCCTATATCAGGAGTAAATCATGGGATCACACACGCATGCACATTGTTACATAAGAATTTTTCTCTCCAAGTCTGGACTAGCTCAGGACTAAATATGAAATCTAAATATTGGTCTATAAACCAGATCAGTAAGTTCAACTGAAGTTCAACTCCGTGTCTAATGCATTCACATGCACTCTGCTTTTGTTTGTTAACGGCTGTTAGTTCAAAGCATAATTGACAAAATTAGGTCTAATTATTCAAATAATAAATATAGCAGCAGGGATGGGGTAATATCATTAACATTAGATGAAACCACATTAGATGATTCATTAAAAACGATTGCATTACTATTCATTTTTCTCATGTTAACACATAAGACGCAGAGACTAAGAGAGAGAGAGAGAGAGGAGATCATGAAAGGAGGAGAGGAAGGAGATCGGGAGCTAGAGAGAGTTTCTGTGGCAATGAATTGCAGAATCTTCCAAGAAACTCGTCTGTTCTGCCTCAGTGTCTTTAAAGTCTTTGATGAATACTTCTTTCATCCAGTTTGGCTCAGGAGCCCAACAATGCAGAATTCTGTCTTTAATATGTAAAATATGCCCCATGCTCTCTTCTCTGGGTGCCATTATGCAAATTAAGATGTCAGATTATAAAGAAAGAGATGCACTTCCATAACAAGACAGCTGCTCACCTTTTCAAGAACTCCATGTACTCTGCATGTTTGATGAGTCCTGTCCTCATCATGATGGTCTGGAAACACTGTCTGTCGATGGCCCATAACTTCACACTGGTGACAGCTGAAACACACATCAGAAAACATGCCATCAGTTTGTGCATGCAGTTTCCTAATGATCAACACCCAAAGCTTTTCTTGCCATATGAGCTGATCATGAAATGCTGATATTTTTATCAAATAATTGTGATGAACAATGTACAGTGTACAGCATAAATGAGTACACCCCCTCTGAACCTTAACAAATTCATCAATTACTCTTTGCTTAGAAGACATGTTATGGTTTTTTTAGAGATATAATATTCCAGCAAGTATGCTTGATCAGTTACCAAAGAAGAATGTTAAAATTATTCAAGAAAATACAATTTTCTTATCAAAGTGATAAAATGTTGTGTTGCAAAAATGAGTACACCCTCCTGAAAGTTACTAAATAAAACTAAAAATAAAAAATTCTGGTGTAAGGTTAAGGCAAGTATTGATCAAAAGGTAAGTTGTTGTAAGTATGTTGAACCAAAACTGTTAAAGGTAAGTAATTTCTTGATAATTAAGTGTTATATGGCCCACTGAATCATACTCAGACTTAATGCTGACAACAATGAAACCACTTGAGAGAGAACTGTCAGGAGATTTATTTCTTAGCATAAAAGAGGACAATGGTACAAGAGGAATACCAAATTATTGTTTTAAGTGTGAAAATATAGCCAAAGTAACACAGAAATAAAAAAAATGGACTTGTGAAAAGGCCCCTGAAATAAGCAGGTCTTCATTTTAAGCTTTCATTTAGTGATGAGTGAGTTTTTGCTAGAAAAAGAGCAGGAGAAAGACCAAGAAAGTGTGTCAGAGTCTAAGGTGACAGCCACAAACTTATAATGTGTGTAATACACACAAGTAATAAAACAATATATAACTGCTGAATTCAAACCAAAATGATAAACAGCAGTCATGTGGCTAAACATTTACAAAAATTGCAGCATAGACTGCTGGATATTTCATCATCAAAGTGTGGACTCAAAGGAGGAATACAAGGACTGAAGACAGCATTCCTGAGAAAGAGACGGTATTCTAGGAAAGTGTGTCTTTAAGACACTCACATAAGCTGTCAACAGCCGTCTAGGAAGAAGGAACTACTGTATGATATTAAAAACTTCAATGTTATATTGAAACCTTGTTTTTTGAGAGGGCCGGACTGCTGTCAAAGTGACAAACAGGTTTCGTGATAAGTTTATATTATAGTCATCACTAAAGCAATAAAAACAAGGTGACATTGATGTATGTGAAAGTGACTTTTTGGAAATGATGCCTTATTTTGTCAAAATGTGTTTATTATTGATTTGCATTCACACAAAAAAATATTGAAGTGCTTCAAACTGCAGAGAGAGAAAAGTTCCAGCAGTGATGAAAAATAATCATAAAACACTGAAGCATAAATAAACAGTGAGCGTCTGAATACAACCACTGACTCACCTCATGCAGGGGAATTCATCTGAATTTATGATGGGCTCAAATCTTTTAATAGACTCTGATAACAACAGGAAATAAACAGCCTTTCAAAATATACTAACTTGGCAGATGAGTTATTTATCGTATGAAGTGTAAATACATTCATTATTTATCACACCAAGAACCACAGCATCTAGGAGAACAAATTGTTTGTTGTTAAGATACAGAGCAGGAATGTAGATTCCACACGTGAAAATCACACTCACTGAAACTATTAAGTCAGCATGAACTGAAAATTCATTGTCTGTTTGTAATTGCAAGACAGACTAAACATGAAGTTCTGAAATTAAGTTATAGTTTAAGTTTCAGCTCAATTTAAATAAGTAAATAAATAAACAAATAAATAATGTCAGTTTTCCCTTAAAGAACTACATTAGCCATAATCCTACAGAGGATTACCGGCACCAAATGAGCTCAGCAACGACCTACCACTTCCAAAAAATATTGCAAATTATGTAAATATTTGCAGTGTGTATCTGAATACTAAGTTTTCAATAAAAATTTAAAATATATTGCATTTTATTCAATAGTAAAATTCGTCACTGTAAGTCAACTCTTATTATAGTCAATACACTGTATGTCTTATGTTGTGCCAAGTTGACTGTACATTAAAAAAGTAAAATATATATATATCCGTGATGACCATGTATATTATATTTGCTCATTGATTTTTTTTGCTCGATACATTGTAATACATGACAGGGAATCAGTGGGAAATGTCACAGGCAGTCGATTATTTGATTATTCCTCTTCCATTTCTAAATGTTACAGACCCACCGTTATGAAGAGTGGAGGAGATGTCTGAAGAGCTTGCTAGAATACATGCATACACTCACACACACGGTCAGATTGTGATGTAAACTATTATGAAAAATTGACAATATTTGCTGAGGCTGTGTACTCTAAAACAAAGACAAAATTTTGGTTAAAAAGCATATAACAAGAAACAAAGTAAAGTAAATAAATGGCTAAAACAACATCTGGTTTTGAGAGCATTGAACTGTTTCCTCTTTATTTGTGTATTTAAAAGTTCTGATGTGACTTTGGTTTTGTAAATTAAACGCATTCCTGTAGCTCAAACAAAAGTACATGGCTTTGGCAAAGCCGAGGTTATGGGTTCAATTCACAGGGAATGCAATGTAAGTGTAAATTAATGTAAATGCATAAATGTGGTCTCAGTGCCTTCGAGGAATAGTTCACAGTCCTCTATCTATAATGTGAAAAAGCAGTCTCCTCTGAATCAGAAGCAAAATATTCACAGATCAACCACAGTTTACAAGCAAAAACTGTCCAAAATCTAAACAAATATGTCGGTGGATTGATGTGAGAGAACAACAGGACTTTTTCACTGGAGAAAGCATTATTATGGACTCGTATTTTGGCCAAAAAATGCCATGAGAGAATTGTTTCTTATAAGCAGGCAGCTTTTCACTTCACAAGACATTAATTGACTACAGATTAATTGAGTCATGTGGATTAAAGCCCGATTTGGATGGTAATTGCTAGGGCTGCCCCCTAAAGTCAACTAACCATTAGTCAACCAGAAAGAGGCTTGGTCGACCAAAATTTTATTAGTCGCTTAGTCGCAGAAAATAAATAAAAATCCACCTTGGCGAAGTCACGCGGATCGAAAACGGCTGGTCTATGTGGTAATACAGTAGGCTACATCAGGCAGGACATCCAAACGCTCGCCATTCATCGACCTCAAATATGGCTTATCATCTGAAATATGTAAGTAGCAGCAACGTTACAAGCCCGCTCAATCGAATGTTAACGTGGAAAAATGTGCGCTGTTCAAGTGTCTGTGCGGAGTGTGAATCTGAACAGTAGCACTCACTGCAGGACAGATTAGGGCTGGGTATCGATTCAGATGTCCCGATTCGATTCGATTTCGATTCGCAAGCTCTCGATTCGATGGTATGTGTGTAGTAAACAAAACAGTGCGCCACGCCATACGCCATTCGTTCATTGCGGAAATCATGACGCCTTATGCGTGATATCAAATGCTTCCGCAGATTTATAGTATTACTATAGCATTTCACCTGAGCATTGCGAATCACGCATATGGCCATGATAAGCGCTGAATGAATGACAGGCTTTCTGTTGTAACATCACGCAAGGTAAATAAAGGTGATGTCTAGTGGAGAAGACTAATGATAAGATTCACGTTAATCGGATCTTGTTTTAAATGTGTGCTGAAATAAATACCGGAAAAGATCGATTCGTGGCTTTTGAGAATCGATATCGAATCGACGTCATTTAAAAAAACGATTCATCGAAAAATCGATTTAGGACAGATGGAGGCGTCGGTGCGCTCACTTGCTCTTAAAATACTCCCTCATTTTTGCTCATACAGATAAGAGTAATACATCTTTCAAATATGTAAAGACTCTACGTTTATTTGTGTGCACTCACAATAACAACGAAAAAGTTGTGCTTTTATAAAATAATGAAAGCAAACAGGATGCGCTTTCTGCCGTCTCGGTCTCTGTGAACTTGAGCGCGAAACTCCGAAACTCTGTGTATACTTGCCTACAGACATGAAAAATATATCTATAGAGCGTGAAATGTCTACTTTCAAATGAAACAATTCAAATGGAAAACAAATATTCTCAGATTATGTAATCCATATGAAACATG